GACATTTATAAGAAATATTTCTCTATTTCTACCTGCAGTATGCATATTTTAGTTCAGATGAACTAAAGTTTATGTCCCTTTACCAATGTCTTTTTAGGAAAGACTATTAATTCTCTTCTTTTTCCAGAGCTTCTTTAGAATTCTGTTTGCACATTATGAATAAAATAATTATAATACTTTTAATAGATTGCTCTTAGTGTTGCTCAGATCTTTGTTTTTTTTGGCTCTAAGGCATCAGTCACACAGTTCTCCTTCTTATTAGCATTTTCACTTCGTTGCCCTACCATTGCTTTCAACCTGGCCTACCTAAAACTGAATCTACCACCTGACACAAAACAAAAAGATGCTTCTTTATTTACCCACTTTTGGCTTTAGAACTTCCATGCATGTTCTTGAATCATTGCCAGTGTTCGTTCTATGCCACCTGTGTACAATACACCACTTCAAGATGCTGTATATTCCACTTGTGGCCCATGTGATCAGTATAATATAATGATAATACTAAGATGTAAATGTAGGGAGCCACATGAGGTTTTGTTTTGTTTTTTAATGAATAACAGTGGTTTAGCCTATAACTCTACCAGTTCAGTGATAGGACTAATACTAGTCACATCAGTTTTGGTAAAATCAATGGGAATAGAATGTCTGAATATATAATGTCTCTAGATCTAAGGGGTTTTTCTGCTTTTGTTTTTGTTTTTTTTCCCCAAAGATATATCTTAATTCTAACTCTAGGGTATGTCATTTCTGCTGGTTCTCTACGTGTATTTCAGCAGTTTAACAAAAGAGCTGACCCGTGAGCTTTTGCACTGCCCAGAGTTTGGACATAGAGAAGTTTCACTGTAGTTATAGAATTCCTATAACTCATCTCCAGAATTCTAGGAATACAGTTTGTATTAGCTCCCTTTCCACAGCAGGTATTCTTGACACTAAGCCACTTTGATAGAGTGATTATTTAATAATTTAAAATCTTGAAAATTATACTTGAAAGGTAAGTAAAGCAACTTAGAACATGATTTATATTTATCAAACCTGTATGAATCTTTCTTGAGTTGTTCATTCTTCAAAATATCTAACGTCTTTGAAGCTGGATTTCCAAAATTTAAAACTTCTGCTTAAAAGCTTGAATTTTATCACTGACCATAAACACTGTCAGTTGTTTTTCTTGAAGTGACAAGCTCACTTCATTTGCTTTTAAGAAAATGTTTTCCAAAAGCTCAAGTTTGAATAGCATAATTTGTTTGGCTATTGGCCATTCTTTTGAGAAAACTGATCTGCCATCTCAATCTGCAGGTCCAGTCTGTAATACTTATAGTACCCTGGGGTATAATTCATATTATATTTTACTCAGGCTGACATCTGAACTCTCTATCAGGGTTACTGGATATATTGGTTCCGGCTGTGCTGCTGTGGTGTAGTTGATATCACAGCCTGCTGCGTTGCTCAGTTCTTTACGCTGTGAGCCAGGGCCTAAGAGCTACATTGGGATACAGCAGCAGTTTTCAAAGTGTGGTGTGCACAACCCTAGGAGAGACTCCAGGAGACTTTCAGGAGGCTTAGGAGGACTAAAGTATTTTCATAATAATGCTAAGGCTTTTTTTCCTTTTTCTCTGTATTGATACTTGCACTGATGGGTGTAAAAATAGAAGAGGGTAGGGGTAAAGCTGTTGGCGCCTTAGCATGAATCAAGTCAGAGGCATCAAACTATACCAGTAGTCATTGTGTTCTTCATGGACATTCTCTTGCAGTTTTCAAAAAAATACCAGTTTCACTTAAAAATACCCTGGTGAAGCAATAAATATTACCCATTGTATCAAACCTTGACCCTTGAGTACATGTTATTTTAATATTCTGTGTTAGGAAATCGGTATGTTTACTGAAAGCATTTCTGTGTAGTAAAAACTGATGGTGTTCTTGAAGAAAAACACTTGAGTAATTGAGTGGCGAGATGAACTAGCTGGGTTTTTTTCCCATAGGACATCAGTTTTCTTAAAAGAATGGCCAATAGCCAAACTATGCTATTCAAACTTGAGCATTTGGAAAACATTTTCTTAAAAGCAAATGAAGTAAGCTTGTCACTTCAAGGAAAACAATTGACAGTGTTTATTGTCAATGAAAAAATTTAAGCTTTTTAAGCAGTTTGAATTTTGGAAGTCCTGCATCTACCATTGTGAACTTGATAGTTTTTCAGTATTTATAGTATTCTGATGAGATTTATGTTGATTTTAATGAATGAGATTTTCTGATAAAGTATCATGAAATGTGGCCGCATTTGGGAGATCTGCTTAACTGAGTGAGCCAATATTTTCCAGATAACTACTGCATGGTGTTACAGAATAATGCATGGGATCCATTCAAAGTATAAGACTGGTCAGTGGATGTAACTGATATGGTTCCAGATTCCACATTGCAACTAATCTTTACGTGAAGCAACCACCTGTTGAGTTTTGGTGTAGTAACAAAGAACACTATCCACATATTTTGAAAAAGCTATTATATTACTCTTCGTTTTCCAATGATATGTCTGTGAGGTCCAAATTTTCTTCAGGTATTGACTAAAATAACATATTGCAACAGATTCAGTGCAGAAGTAGGTATGAGAATTTAGCTGATTTAAATTAAACCAGACATTAAAAGAATTTACAAAAAAGTAAAGCATTGATACTCTTGTCACTAATATTTTGTTTTGGAAATGTAGTTATTTTTAATAAAATGCTATTTATGTTAGCATGTAATGGAATTGTTATTTTTTTTTTCCAGATGATTTTATTTTTTCAACGTTTATTTATTTTTGGGACAGAGAGAGACAGAGCATGAACAGGGGAGGGGCAGAGAGAGAGGGAGACACAGAATTGGAAACAGGCTCCAGGCTCTGAGCCATCAGCCCAGAGCCCGACGCGGGGCTCGAACTCACAGACCGCGAGATCGTGACCTGGCTGAAGTCGGACGCTTAACCAACTGCGCCACCCAGGCACCCCGAATTGTTATTTTTAAAATGTAAAAATGTTTCAGTTTTCATTTCTAATATGATAAATATCAATGCACATAACCAATGGTATGCTGGAGCTGACTTGTGAGAGCCAATTATGTGCATCTTTTTCCAACTTTATGTTCAGTGTCATCCATTGGTAACTTGAAATCTGCCACAGTAGGAGTTTTTACATTATGGAAATCAGCAAACCTTTCAAATCAAGGTTCTCCTTTCCCAAAAACTGATTGACAGATGTTGACAGCACCCTACTGGATATAAATCACATAAACAAAAGCTTTTTGAGTCATCAGTAATTTTTAAGAGTATAAAGGTGTCCTGAGAGACTAAAAAGTTTGAGAATTATTTGTGTGGTGAAAAGAATACCTTTTGGTAATTGGTCCACAAAGGGGTGGATGCCCTTTTATTATTATACAGCTTTGTCTTTTGTGCTGGTTTGTCATTTGTAAAACAAATCCTCCCCCCTTTTTTTTTTTTTTAACTTCTAGTTATTAAATTTATCGATTCTATTATGGCATGATCTTTTTCTTTCCCCAAAAATCTAACGTAGGCAATAATACTGCAGGGGCAGGTGGGCTGAATTTGCTCTGTGGGCTACATTTTGGGTGTCTCTGCCCTGTTCTGTTGGTTATGCAAGCTCATATCAGGGCCTGGCTCAAGTTGTGGCTTCTACACAAAGCCTCTACTTACTGTTCAGGCCCATGCTGATCTTTCTATTCTGTACTCCTTGACTTTCATGACCTGTACAATGGAGCAATTAGTTCTATACTGTTTGGCATGCTATTGTTTCTTAGGTGTTAGTTTTGTCAATTCTACTTTATACCCTAGTGCACCCAGTACAATACTCATCACATAGGTTCTCTTGCATGGATGAACGATTTTTACTTCCAGGTTACCGAAGAAGTTTGCTTTCTAAGGAAATGATCTTGTAAATAAATCTTATTATTTGTTATAAACCCAGTTTTTAGTAATTGCTTTAAAGTATAAGTAGATTGGAAAGTAGATTGGTGTTTCTTAATGTGAGGCACTACACAGAGACTTCCTTCAAAGTTTGTTTTAGATCTTGTGGTTCTACTACCATTCATGATAGAAGCTGGTAGCTTATTTCACTTATTTCATATCCAAAGTCTTTGGTTCTTGAGTAGGTTATAATGAGTAGTGAAACAGTAAAAGGAGGCAAAGTTTCTAAGATTACATTGGCCTATAGGATTGGGTTGTTTACTCAGTAGGAAACTTAGCAGGTTTTAAATCCAGGGGAGTGGAGGTATTGTGTTTTGCTGGTACAGGTCTCTGTTGAAAGCACTCAGGGGTGCTGGGAGATGGCTGTACTCTGTGCAAGCTGAATGATGGTTCTGGCCCTCTTCTCTAGATGCTCGAGCTAGCAGGGAGGGAATCTGTAAGAGGGCCATACCAGCTCCAAGGCATGTACTTTCTCTGGATCACACACACTAAGAGCATGAGGGGTCTTGGAATTCCTCTGTCCTGTGCCTTTTTTGTGATTATGGGGGGATAACAGTAACTTCCATTAGCATAGAGACAAGGCATTAACTTGCATCTGGAGTAATACTAGAATGGGGCAAACGTTTCATTTATTAAAAAATAATTCACCACATTTAAGTTCTGTCTCCAGTTTCTCTTAGGAAGTTAGGTAGTTTATACTCTGGCCAAAATAAGGATTCACTGTTGGTAGTCTTGATGTTGTAGTGAGGTAGTTTAACTGCTTTAGAACTTTGCGCTTGGAACATTCTTCGCCAGCGAAGCATGGGAACTGAAAGTGAGGAGCATGGGTTCTTTAATATCTATCACATCAGAGAATGACTGTTCAGCACAGTAACCGCCTCCTAATGGTAAGTACCCCAGCACACTCATCGTTTCTTAGAAGCAGAAGAAAGAAAGGAAGAATTGGCCAGTCCTAATAGTGATTGGTATTTCTTCAAAAAAAAAAAAAAACAAAAAAAAAAAGAACAGAAAATGATCCAGCCTTAATCCTCAATGATGATCGTTTTTGCAGGTTTCTGTAGCTGGATCAGGCACCGGAAGAGGCTCCCCAGCTGTAACTCTAGTGCAGTTACCTTCGGGCCAAACTGTGCATGTCCAGGGAGTAATTCAGACACCACAGCCATCGGTTATTCAGTCACCACAAATACAAACTGTTCAGGTTAGCTTCCTTCCTGGATGATTGGTCTTTGACTTTCTTCAGTTTTTTTTTTTTTTTTCCCTTTTACGAATTCATTTACCATCTTTTTTTCTCTTTGTGTAGCTTTTATGCTCAAATCTTTTTATTAGAAGTTTGGAGGAATTTCCCTTTCCTATGTGGAGTGTGTTGTGCCCTGTGAGATACATAGATTTGACCAAAGATTTGCAGTTTGGTTGTTAGCTCTCAATTTGCAGAATGAGTAATTGTCAGATGAGTAATTCTTTGAGTTGTTGCTCTGTACTCAGGCACAGATTTATTTGGCAAAGCTCTCCAGTGGTGCTTAAAAATATTTTGAGGATTCTTTGGCAAAGATGTCTGATAAACACAGTAAAGATTATAGTATTGGCTGTTTTCATGAATACTCACATTAGTAGGTAGGAGGAAATTTAAGTTTATCTTTAATATGTGTAATTTGTAGGAAACATAGGATATTATTGTCACCTTGGTGTTAGACTTCTACATCACGAACCCCTCTCAGATGAAACCTTGGTTTTTGTAGGCAGGATTATTGTGGTTATGATCTGGAGATCTATTTTATTATTTATTATTATCAAAGTTGGTCACGAATCCTTAACATTTCTTGAACCTAAAACATTTTTTGCATCAATAGATATAAATTAAGTATGCATTTTTAAAGTTTTTATTTAAAAAAATGTTTTTAAGTTTATTTATTTTTTAGAGAGATAATGTGAATGGGGGAGGGGCAGAGAGAGAGGGAGACACAGAATCTGAAGCAGGCTCCAGGCTCTGAGCTGTCAGCACAGAGTCCAATTAGGGGCTCGAAACTCACAAACCATGAGGTTACGACCTGAACCAAAGTTGGATGCTCAAATGACTGAGCCACCCAGGTGCCCCAAGTTTTTATTTTAATTGCAGTTAACAGTGTAATTTTTGGTTATTGAATTTATTTCTGTTCCTTTTTTACTTCAGTAATTATCCTTTAAATGTTGAAATTTACTTGAACATAGTTGATGACAGAAAGATCTTGAGGAAAACATAGATATGCATACTTAATCTCGTCCCTTGCATATTTGAGTACAGCTTATTGCAGAATAATGAAACAGTTTGCAAAATTATATTTGAAGTAATAAATCCACATTCATTAAAAGCTTAGCTATCTTTCCTACACAGGTATCTTTTCAAAAGAGTAAGAGTCATTCTTAGCAGTTTTTTTTTTTGTTCTTTTCCATAATGACTCTTGATTCCAAGACTTTCTGAATCTTTCTGACTGTAATTATAAAACAAGAAAGTCTTTCCACTCTCCTTTTTGAATTATGACTTCTGTTGGGGTGCAGGTATTTCTACTCTAGTTTTAACTTGGCTGCTGTTGGAAGAAAGTATTACCTTATATTCAGTAAGCTTTTTTGGATTTTGTTATGTGGATGATTTAATTGTCTTGGTAGAGGTAAGTGCCAGTGGATCTTGTCTTAGAATTCCTACTTGTTGAACAGTGGTCAAGTCACTTAATGTCTGTACATGAACTTCGGCTTCACCTTTCTAAAATGGTTAAAATAGTATCCTACCTCACATAAGGGGTTAGTTATAATTATATGAGAGATGTGTGAAAGCCCAGTATAATGTGGTAAATGTTTGGTGGTGATACATGATTGTTGATTGCAACAACATTTTTTCTAAGTTCTATTGGTATGTGTGCTTATGTGTGGAGTGCCTATGACCAGAGATGTATAAGATTGTATGTGTAGGTGAACATAGATGTACATCAGTGTGCCTTGGGAAGTATATATTCCTGCTCATATTGTTGACATGTTAATAAGTTCTTTTGATTTTGCCCAAATCAAATTTTCATATAATTATAACAATAAGGAAAGTGAGTTTTATAAACTCAGAACTACCCTATGCCCTGAATTATAATGGCTAAATATATTGAGAACTGTCATGTTGTAGAGATTCATTATTTTAGTTTTCACCCTTTCCTTATAATCATGTTATTATCATGTGACTTGAAAAATGAAACTCTGACCTTTCTTTTAAGGAGAAATTCCTTATTTTGACTTTCAGGAGTTACCACCATCAAGCCCCAACCTTCTTGATATATAAATCCTAACTTTAATCAGGCTTCTTTATTTTTTTTAGTATTTCTTTTTTTTAATGTTTATTTACTCAGAGAGAGAGAGCGAGTGAGCAGGGGAGGCGCAGAGAGAGACAGAATTCCACTCAGGCCCCACACTGTCAGTGAAGAGCCCAATGCAGGGCTTGAACCCATGAACTGTGAGATTATGACCTGACCTGAATGAAACCAAGAGTCGGATGCTCAACCAGTTGAGCTGCTCAGGCGCCCCTTTACTTTTTTATTTGCTTCTTTGAACCTGTCTAATGTCTAACCTGAAGACCTAGCTCAAGTCAGCTGTGGTATTGTGAAGAGGGAAGTGAGGTAGAGATGCTTTATTTTGCCTCTCAATCCCCCGCTGGATTTGTAAGAGTATGTTCAAGGTTGAGATCTTAGGTCTTATGTATCTTATATTTAGTCCTTTCCTGTGAAGCCTCACCTGCCATTCCAACGACTTTCATTTGCATTTCTGTACTATTTATTATCTGTCCCATTCCTTTCCACACATACCTGCTCTACAATTGAAATGTGTATGTCTGTGCTCCTTTTCCTAATACCAGGTGTGAGCTGCTTTAGTGTAGGTTCTGTGTGTTCTGTTGCTGGATGCTTTGCCAGCAGCTGGTTTAGTACTGCACACACAGACCCTTCAGCACCATTTTTTGATTGAAGGAGGTCATATATTTTATGATGCATTTCAGAAACTTTTGTATTATAGGTAGCAACGATTGCAGAGACAGATGAGTCTGCAGATTCAGAAGGTGTAATTGATTCTCATAAACGTAGAGAAATCCTTTCACGAAGACCCTCTTATAGGTAAGTCTCCTACTGTAATGATACTTAAAACAAATTTTTTTTTAATGTTTATTTATTTTAGAGAGAGAGTGCAAGCAGGGGAGGGGCGGAGAGAGAGGGAGACATAGAATCAAAGCAGGCTCCAGGCTCTGAGCTGTCAGCACAGAGTCCGATGCAGGGCTCAAACCCACAAACCGCGAGATCATGGCCTGAACTGAAGTCGGACGTTCAACCGACTGAGCCACTCAGGCGCCCCTGTAATGATACTTTTTCCAAAAAAGGAGAATAATTTTATATCAAAGCAGTTCGTCCATTATAGCTTTTTTGTTTTAAATCTCATTCAAATACCTTAATTATTTCTGTTTAATTATGTTTTAGAAAAATACTGAATGAACTTTCCTCTGATGTGCCTGGTGTTCCCAAGATTGAAGAAGAAAAATCAGAGGAAGAAAGAACGCCACCTAACATCGCTACCATGGCAGTACCGACTAGCATATATCAGACTAGCACGGGGCAATACAGTATGTATGCTGCATTCGATATGGTACAGTGCTAGCTTTAAGTCTTCTCTAGTTACATTGAAGCAACTTGGGTTCAGCATTAAACTGTTCCATTTTAAAATGCATCATAATATCCAAACTATGTATCATAGAATGAAAAGTAAATGTTAAAGAAGTAAGAGATTTGTACTGACAGCTGTCGTATACTTTTGAAAAGTCAAAAATTTTTGACTGAATATAGAAGAAAACTTTTGGGTGAAAATAAAGGGAGGGTTTGCCTATTTATATGTTTATATTCATGTCTAGTAAAAGTTTAAAACTTACCTGTTTTTTGTTGTCTTTATAAGATGCATGTGAACATAAGCTATAAATGTCTGTATTTCATTCTTGTTGGCTTTTGTTACCAACAATTACATATTATGCTTCCTAATCTAAAAGAGGTACATAATGTTTTCTAAATTATGTTTTAAATGTAATTATGTTTTCACTACTCTTTGTTAATTTGTGCTGCAGCTTTTTCTAGAAGAGAATGGAAAAATGATTTATTTTTAAAAACTGCAGCCATTGGACAGATCATTTTATTTGAAATTTTAAACATCAAAAGCTGTAAATAAACAGATACATTCACATTTAGTCTTGTGCATTTTAATGGGCTGTTAATTCTGTGCTTTTTGCTCTAATTAAAGCACTAATTTTTTCCCAAATCAAGTACATTTGATATACATAAAAATGCTTTAGTAAAAAAACAAGAGCTAGGAAGAAAAGAAAAAAGGGGGAAGAAAAGCCAGAAAAAGGACAGAAAAAAAAACCCCATCTTTAAAATAGCTACTTAGGTAATGGAATATGTGTGGTAATAAGTACTATGTTGGTTTAAATATGATGGTAAGATTTTACATATGTCTTCTGTTTTCCCTTTAAAAAAAAGTAATACCTAGAAAAATTCTCAAATCTTAAGATGTGGCTGTTAAACTATAATCCTTAATATGTGAACAGATCTTATGTAGTCACTAGTTTTTTTAGAGGTTTTTCTTTTGGTGGTGGCAGATTTGCAATATTAAACTAAATCTCCCTTGGTAATTGTGGTTCTTCAGGTAGCTCGTACCATGATACCTAGCAGAATTGGGGTATAATTTGTCCACAGCCTCTATAGGGTGCTGAGTGGACATGTCCAAAGTCAATGTTAGGAAAAGGAAACTCCCCACTGTCTCTGTAAAGAGTCACACCTTGAGGTTTTAACTGTTATTTTTCTTGTATTACTTCTCTGATTTAAATGCCTTTTTGCTGGCCCAGTGGGAATATATGGTGGGAGTTTTAGAACTGTAAGTCAGAATTTGCCAACTGGTATGCCTCTGCAGTGTAGCACACAGGTACGGGAGTGTGAGCGCCTCATGCCTCCATCCCCAAGCGTGGCCCACCAGGGCTTGGAGCTGCTGGAGACTCCTGGCTATTCAGATCTGGCCTTGAGCAGTGGGCTGTGTACATACTATCAGCTTCTATTGGTGATGTGGTAGGAAAAAGGTTGGAAATTACTGATAAAATAATGCTAAGACATCTTAAAGTTTGGGGAACGATCTAAGATGCTGTCACCTTAAATATTTCCTGGCATTTCCCAGTGCTGCTTCAGAGTTTATAGAAGTGGTGATCTCTTTACAAGTGATACAGAGGGGGGTGCTGTAGTTTATTTTGCCTAGTTTATTAGCTGAAAATCTGAAATTGTGAAAACATTGGGTTGAGAGAATTTTGAGGCTACAGATGATGTGCAGGAGGCACTGGGTCCTGCCATTCACTAACTGGATCAGAGAGAGAAGCTTTATTTTTCCATCTCAGGGTCTTTGAATTGATAATAATACAAAATTGCCAAACTCTGGGCAAAAGGAAATAACAGGTAAAAGTGGGAGAAAGCCAGACATGCTACTTTTGACACAAAACAGAGCTGTAAGGTAGCTATGGCAGTGTCTCCTACATGGTCATTAAACTTTTCCCTCCAGCTAACAACAGAGCCTTTATTTCTTGTGCTCGGAGTGTGTGTGCCTGCAGCAGGGGCTTTGTGTGAAACGTCAGTGTGGGTGTGGGGTGGTCAAGTCAGGAGAATAGCAAGTCAAAAGATTAGAAGTCGGACGTTTATCTGTTTGCCACGTTACAAGTCATGGACTGTCTTTTATTGAGGTTTCTTTAATTTGGACCCATACACTAGATCCTGGTAGTTATTTTAACTAAAGGCTGTGGTTGTTCTGTATGTGCTGTCTGCAGGTAAAAATTACCAGTTTTATTGGTTCATGAAAAGTGACACTAACTTTGTTCAAAATGCATCTGTTAGACACTTAGCGACACTTGCTTAGGTTTATAAATGTTTCTTCTGAAAGGTGAATACTAACATTTAAAGTTTTTAGAAGACATTTACTTTAATTGGAGGGTAAATGTATATTTACATATAGACAAGATCCATTTTCATTAATCGTATTTCTTAGTAGGAATAACTTAACAGATATTAATGCTTTCATGTTGTTCCTGGATATCTAGAAATAGAAACAATTACTGGTTTTTAGACTGGAGGAGTTTATTTTACTAGAATTTTTGGAGATTCTTCTGGGTATCTGTTTTCGAGACCCTTTTATAAGGTTTTACTGTAAAATGTGGTTTTTTTAGGTTTAATTCTTTCTTCAACTTTTATTCGTGGATGACTTTCCCCCAAACTTTGTTTATTTTTTCAAAGATTATCATTTTTTTTAATGCTTATTTATTTTGAGAGAGAGAGAGAGAGAGAGAGAGAGAGCAGGCACATGAGCAGGGGAGAGGCAGAGAGAAAGAGAGAGAAAAAGAGAAAATCTTAAGCAGGCTCCATACCCAGTGTGGGGCCCGACATGGGGCTTTATCCCACGACCCTGGGATCATGACCTAAACTGAAATCAAGAGTTGGTCGCTTAACCAACTGAACCACCCAGGCTCCCTCAAAGATTATTATTTTAGATTGCTTATTTTTAATTTGGTATAATGAGGTAGTTGGGGTTAAAAACAAAAAGAAATGAACTAAAGGACTTTGTGTGTCAAAGTTGAAGAAATAAAATATAAATGAGTGTACTCAGGCTTTCCCATATATAATCAGTTATATTTTTAATAATTGAAAGTTAGCTGTATGACAGAAGTAGGCCTTACTGTTTCAACTTATTTTTTTTTTAATTTTTTTTTAACGTTTATTTATTTTTTTGGGACAGAGAGAGACAGAGCATGAACAGGGGAGGGGCAGAGAGAGAGGGAGACACAGAATCAGAAACAGGCTTCAGGCTCTGAGCCATCAGCTCGAACTCATGGACCGCGAGATCATGACCTGGCTGAAGTCGGACGCTTAACCGACTGCGCCACCCAGGCGCCCCTCAACTTATTTTTTTAATCACAGAAACTAAGAAGTGAAAGTTAGAATAGGCTACTCCCAGGGAGTAGTAAAAATAACTAAATAGGCAGGGATTCATTATTGCAACACCACGTAAAAGAGCTACACTTGCAAAATCTTTACTGGAAGTACAGATCTTAGTGATAGGTTTGTTGTATGCCAATTAAGTCATTCTGGCCAAAGAAAATCTTGTATGTCTCAAAAGAATATTTCTGAAAGATAGCAGTTCAGATAATCTCAGAATCTGCAAAGAATGTTACTTGTGCCTAAGACATTTAAGATCTGCATTAAATGAGAGTCATACACATATATTGAGTAAAAGCAACTAAAGACATTTAAGTTTGCAGTTTCTTAATTCATTAAATTTTCTCTAATGAAAAAGGTTTTTTTTGTTTGTTTTGGGTTTTTGTTTTCTAATCCCTTACTCTGCTATACCTGACCTCTTCTCTTACCAATTAAGGACTATCACCCAAGATTTTTTTTTTTTTGCCTAAATGTCCCTTGTCTCCGCTTGCTCCTACTCTATTTTATGACGAACCTTATTCAAATGTGTCTGTATTAACTCATCCATACTGGAATTCTTACACATTAAAGGTAAGTGGCTCAGTCCAAAATCCATCATAAAAAGAGATCTATGTGAACTTTTTGGGCTGCTTAAAAGAATTTAGAATTCTCAGGAGACCTCTCCTGTGAGTAAACACCAATTCCATTCCCTCATAAAAGGAATTTGCATGATAGGTGCATACATTCTAAAGTAAATGCAGTTGCATTTATAATTCTTAGTAGTGACTTTGCTTAAATTCTCCCAAGATAGCTTTCAAAGCAAACATGGAAGGTATCTGCTTATAATCTTGGTGTTGCTATTGTTATAGCATGAGGCTGTTTTGGTCTTTCTTTAGCTGTATGCACCTCTTGGCTTTCAAGGCACAAGTACTCACAGGTTCTGTTCTATGCTCACTTTTTATTTATTTATTTATTTAAAAATTTTTTTTAATGTTTTATTATTTATTTTTGAGACAGAGAGAGACAGAGCATGAATGGGGGAGGGTCAGAGAGAGAGGGAGACACAGAATCTGAAACAGGCTCCAGGCTCCGAGCTGTCAGCACAGAGCCCGACGCGGGGCTCGAACTCACAGACCATGAGATCATGACCTGAGCCGAAGTCGGACGCTCAACCGACTGAGCCACCCAGGCGCCCCATCACTTTTTAAATTTAAGTCAGAATTCACTGACTTAGGGTCTGCTGTTCTTTTTTAAAATTAATTCAGTGAAGTTTTATTTACATTTTTTTTTTTTTGCAATTTGGAATAAAGATGGTTTTAAGTTATAATTAAACATTTACATGTTTATGTGTTTGAATTGGCTCCTACATACAAGTTTAGGACTATAAAGATGTTAGTATGGGGCGCCTGGGTGGCGCAGTCGGTTAAGCGTCCGACTTCAGCCAGGTCACGATCTCGCGGTCCGTGAGTTCGAGCCCCGCGTCAGGCTCTGGGCTGAAGGCTCAGAGCCTGGAGCCTGTTTCCGATTCTGTGTCTCCCTCTCTCTGCCCCTCCCCCGTTCATGCTCTGTCTCTCTCTGTCCCAAAAATAAATAAATGTTGAAAAAAAAATTAAAAAAAAAAAAAGATGTTAGTATCAAGTAGAAAGAAGCCAGATGAAATCTTAATTTAAGTAAATTTTATTCATTCCTCTTTTGGGTCTGAACTCTCTTTTTTTTTTTTTTTAGTTTTCCACCCTTATTTATCTTTCTTTTCTTCATTTATTATGAAGACTTGAAAGTACTACTTTTTTAAATTAAAAAAATTTTTTTTACCAAAATCCTCAAATTTTCATCCCACACATAATCTTTTCCTTACTCCTATGAAATTAGTAGCTCTAGGGGAGGAGTGCTCAATGGCAATGAGTAGAAGTCACAGATTTTTTAAATACAGGAATTTTAAAGAATTTAATCCCTAGACTAGTTGATATATCATACTGGTTACTGTGATGTATGGTAAGTTGGAGATGGGGAAACCATACTTGGGTTAACACAGACTTGAAACCAAATACCATGACTGTATAAGGATGTACACAGAGACATTTGTATAACCACTAAAACCACCTTAGTAGAGCAATATTTAGTGCACTAATGAATTACATTCTAGACATACTCTTCATGTAAGGTCAGTGTGCTCAACATTCAACCTGTGTATAGAGTGAGCTACTTAATTATGGGGTATAGCTTACCTGAGACTTTAGGAGTAAAAAAAAAAAAAAAGAAAAAGCTAACTCTCACAGCAACTAGGGCAACTACCCTTTACCCACCATTACTACTACCAATAATATGCTAGCAGGCTTGAATCACTTAATAACAGACATTGAAGTAGAATTTAATTGATTATATAATCTAACTGTTCAATTTTAATTCAGTTTAGATAATTTTATCAAACTAATGTTTGATGACTTAAAAGAGGAAAATCAGTATGCATATAATCTAAAATAAAAACACTTTTAATTATGCTTGAGTCCCAATCAGTCTTTGTGGACCAGTGTGAACTCTTCATTGTGATCAGCAGTGTGGCCACAGATACAAGCTTTTATGCCCCAGTTGCATGTGTCATTATAAGAAAACATTAATAAAGCCTAGGTCCCCAAAGTAAAATTAGTAGGAAATACAAAGGTATTTTAACTTCATTAGTTACTAATGGCCTTCAGAGGGGCCTATCATTTTATTTAAAAATGATTAACCAGATGTATCTGGGATTTGCTTTGAAATACTCCAGACCAAAAACAGAAAAAAAAAAAAGTTTGGGAATGAGTGGGCAGGGAAAATAGATGACACAAAATTCTTTGTACTTCTATGTTTGCTAGAAAATTTCCATAAGTTTTAAAAAAATAATTAGGTAGGGTCTCCTGGGTGGCTCAGTCAGTTGAGCGTCCAACTTTGGCTCAGGTCATTGTCTTGTGGCTTGTGGGTTTGAGCCCTGCGTTGGGCTCTTGCTGACAGCTCAGAGCCTGGAGCCTGCTTCGGATTCTGTGTCTCCCTCTCCCTCTGCTTCTCCCCTGATTGTTCTCTGTCTCTGTCTCTCTGTCTGTCTCAAAAATAAATGAACATTAAAAAAAATTTAAAAATAAGTAAAACAAAAGGTGTGACTAAACTCAGTTAATTTCATCATAAATTTTCCTGCTATGTATCTTGATGTGTGTTTACTGAAAGCACATATTTTGCTATCTTTGAATATTTTGTAGCCTAAAAGTTTGCTCTTCAAATCTTGAATACACACACACACACACACACACACACACACACACACACACACAATCTAATTCTAGTATCCTGAAGCATTGGGAAATCTTGTTAATTGTCAAATGAGAGGTAACATTTTGAATGGGAAGATCTTCTGCCATTTGATAATGCCAAAATCAAGAGGGCCTTTGGTATAAAAAATAAAATCCAGGTTAAAGTACAAGACTTATCAGTAGAAATGTTCTCCCCTAGAGCTAGGTTGTATGCATATGTGTGTTTAGCTTTATTTTCCACATCTAATTATATAATGACCAGAAAATAAAATGCTGAGAGGAACAAATTCTTGATATATCAACTTTTCACTGTGTGAAAGCAAAGAAGTTTTGATGGGAATTATGAGGAAACATTGAAAAAAATAAGAAAATATGGAAAGAAAAAAGTAAGGGTCTTTGTTATCTATTTCATGTTCTTACCCTCAGCAGCAACTACTCTCGCCTTAGATTTTTTTTACAAAAGGCTAGTCCCAAAGCTTGCTAATTGCATTGGCATTGAAAATTAAGTTGTAGTTAGAACGTAAAGCCATACTTTATTGAATTCTAGATTCAAGAATGGCTCAGTTGTTTATGATACAGTTTGTCACGAAATGATAGCCATCATTCATCGTTAATACACTCAGCTTTGTGCTTCTCCCACACTGTGCATACACGGCTTGTGCCTCTTCTTCTGACACTAAACTGTCAACTGAAAACACACATTCAAATATATGATAACATATGAAATTCATTCACATCCAGGCATGAAGATCTGAGGAAGCAATACCTCCTCTTTTTCTTACTTCTCTTTTAAGAAAGTAGGCATAGTTAGGTTTCTTCCAAACACTTTTATTTATTATAAAGGGTGAGCCCTGAGACCCTTGAAATCTTATTTTTAAAATGTGTACAGAGGGGCACCTGGGTAACTCAGTCGGTTAAGCGTATGACGCTTGATTTCAGCTCAGGTCGTGATCTCACAGTTTTTTGGATTGAGCTCCATGTTGGGCTTTGTGCTGTGTGAAGCCTGCTTGGGATTCTCTCTCCCTCTTTCTCTGCTTCTCTCCCCCACTTTCTCTCTCTCTTTCTCTCAAAAGTAAATAAACTTTAAAAAATAAAATGTGTACAGAACATAATGCTCTACATGAGCCAGATGAACAAAAGGCTATTACGTGAGTTTCTCAGCCTCAGCACTGTTGACATTCTATAACTGATTCTTCACTGTTTGTCAATTATATCCTAATGGTGGCCTGTCAAAGAACAAAAACACAGAGAATGCATCTTGCTGAAACCTTTTGAAAATATTAACCCATCTTTCTCTTAATTTAGGTCCTAGAACTAAAGATTTATTGTTACTCTTTCCAGTAGTTCTGACAGGTTTATACAATCAGGTCTTCACCTAAATGGGCCTTTGCTTAGATCCTGGAAAAAAACGGTAGAGAATAAGTTGGAAATATTGACATACATTCCCCCACTACTGTAACATTCCTGTAAGGCATTTGCATTGATCTATAGGCCTTGTGTTATTCTGATGTATTGTTACCTTCATTGTAAATCTAGTGAGCTGATTTATATGTGATTTTTTTTTTTTTTTGAAGGGTTCTACTTAATGTCTGGTACTTAAACTAAAACATAGGGTCATACTATTTATGTTAAACTATACTGAAGTCTTGGATATTTTAACGGGAATTGAAATTGAATTAGCAATGAATTGAATTAGAGTAAAATTCAAAAAGAAAACATTTGATCCATTCTTTGGAAACTTTTGGTTAATATGTTAACTTTTAAACATGGCTGGCAGGTCTCAGTGTTCAGAGGAAGTCTACCTCGTTATCTGCTGCTATGAGCTGCAGTTATTCAGGACATTTGGTAGACATAAATATTGTAGCACAAATTCTTTCAGTGGTTATTTTTTAAGATCCTTTCCAATGTAACATTTTATATTTCATATTTTATATTTCATCACATAGTCAAAATGGTAAAGGTTGCAGTTTTGTAGACTTAAGTTTTAAAACCAAAATATATAGTAATATAGGTTCCATTAAAAGCTACTTTCTTTTGATAGGTTAGAAAGTAGTTAGCTGAATGAAGGTATAAATTCATTGTAGTTGTGATGCTCGATAGAATTGCATTGACCGTGTTTTAAATATTAGAAGAATGCTATTTATCTATAACTAAAAACATCTGGAAGAGTGGAGAAAATCAAGAAGCTGAACTTTCTCCCTGTCTGCATCTCCACTCTTCCTCTTAAATGATTTAGTTGGTTGGATACCATGGAGGAGGGAAACTCCGTGGGTTCTATGTATTTCAAATAATTCTGAATATAACATATCTTCAAGGGTTGATGAGATTTTTCAGAGTGTTTTCCCATGAAGAAGGACCTCCCTATCAATTCAGCATAGAGAAATAAGGGTAACTTGAGAATGAAGAGCGTTGGTAATTAATACGCCCGCAGTATAGTCTTCCAATACGGGATTATTAAAAATGAATCTTGAAATTCTCTAATATTTCTTTTCTCTTTCTGTTAAGTTGCTATAGCCCAAGGTGGAACAATCCAGATTTCTAACCCAGGATCTGATGGTGTTCAGGGACTACAGGCATTAACAATGACAAATTCAGGAGCTCCTCCTCCAGGTGCTACAATTGTACAGTATGCAACACAGTCAGCTGATGGCACACAGCAGTTCTTTGTCCCAGGCAGCCAGGTTGTTGTGCAAGGTACATTTTATTAATCTAATACATTTAGAATACACTGTATCACACCATTTAGTGGTGATTTTATAGTTTTATGAAATATACAGGAGGCAGATTTGGGGTGGGGGGAGGCACTTTAAAAGGCTTGAAGAGGGAATATTTTAGTACGTTAAACAAGCTAAATTATATGATTTTTACTTTTTCGCAGGCTTTACTGGCTCTAAAGAAAGGTTCCAATCAGGGTAGCATGATGGGGAAAAAGGACTTGGACACATGAGAGAATTTTTTAATTAATTAAATATCCTTTCTCTGGGGGTTATAAATATTATACCTAATACATATTTTTATTACCTGGTCTATGAAGATTTAAGTATCCAGTGCATGGTGCACTGAATTGGGGGTTTTCCCCAGATGTTACACTCAAGTCTAAGTTCTAGACATCTCATTTCAAAACAAATGCTGATATTTGTTTCTCTAGACCATTCCAGGTATCCACTCTATTTCATATGGAAGTAGTGAAATAAAATAGTTGGGATGTAGCCCTAAGCTTTCAGGGTAACCTAAGATTTCAGTTAAATTCAAGTTATACATTGTTTTAATATCATTCATTTGTGCTCATAATAACTATAATGTGTTTAATACAACTTGCAAAAACCCTATATTTTAATTTAATAACTCTATTCCTCTTGGCATTTGCTTAGATGTTTGATGTAGCACTAATTTTAAGGGGGATAATATTCATTCTTTTGGTTTGAAAGTCTTGCAAGTATGGAAAAAAAGCAGATTCTGACTGACGAGTCTCTTGATAATTAGCTTTACCCTTAGGTGTTTTGGAGGTTAATGTGGACTATAATAAAAGTATATGAAGAACTGAAGGAGTTCATATATGGAGTAAAAAAATCCATAGTACTTCCCTAGTATTTTGTTTTCTTTACTTTGTAAAATCAAAATCATCTGTTTTATTTCCCCTGATTCCCATGAACCCTCTATGTCTAAATAAATAATCATAAAAAGTCATCATTTCTTCTAATTTATCTTTTTTTATGTGGAAAATCTACTGTAAACCTGATATTTTAACATAAGGAGAGCTTTAAAAATGTTTTCTGTTTTGCATAGATCATACAATAATGAGTTTTGTGCTTTTGGGGTTTTACTGAAGGAATCTTCTCTTCTGTAAGCCAAAGACATTTTTCTATATTAGTTATATTAGCTTTATAGCTTTACCTTTCACATTTATGTCCTTAGTCCACCCCAGGTCCACTTCTGTGTATGGTATTAGGTGGGAATTCACTGTCATTTTTCTCCACATATGGAGCCAGTTTTCTCCTACTAATGGTTTATCCTTTCCCCATTAACTTGTGGGGCAATGTTAATTACATAGTAAGTTCTCATGTATTCTCAGATCTGTTTCGGAACTGTCTATTTTGTACTATTGGTCTCCTTTTCTGTATGCCAGTACCATACTGATTTGTTCTCAGAACAAGTTTCCCTTTTTTATCTTAAAAAAAAAAATTCTATTAGTGCTGATTTAGCTTGTATGACCCATTATTCTTCCATATGCATTTAGAACAAATTTGAGTTTCTAAATAATGGTACAATAATAAAACCAGCAATGAGGTTGCATTTAACTTATAGATTAATATAGGGGAAACTGAAGTCTTTTTTTTAATTCAAATATAATTGACATATATCATTAGTTTCAACTGTACTGGTTTGACATTTGTTTAAAATACAGTAAGTGATTACAAGTAAGTCTAGTTAACATCCATCACCACAGTTACAAATTGCTTTTTTCTTGTGATGAGAACTGTTAAGATTTAGTCTCTTAGCAATTTTCAAATAGGCGACATAGTATTATTAACCGTAGTCACCATGCTGTACATTATATCCCCAGGACTTTTTTGTACCTTTTGATCCCCTTCACCCATTTTACACCCTTCCTGCCAGCACCTCCCTCCCCATCTCTGGCAGTCACCAGTCTGTTCTCTGTATCTGAGTTCTGGGTTTTTTGTTGTTGTTGTTGTTGTTGTTGAAGATTCCACTTGCAAGTACCATCATACGGTGTCTTTCCTTTGTCCGACTTCACCTAGCTTATTGCCTTCAAGTTCCACCCATGTTGTCACAGATAGCAAGATTTCCTTCTCTTATGTATAATAATAATCCAGTGTGTGTGTGTGTGTGTGTGTGTGTGTGTGTGTACACACTACATTTTCTTTATCCACTCACCTATCAATGGACACTTAGGTTGCTTTCATATCTTGGCTATTGTAAATAATGCTGCAATGAACATGGGAGTGAATATATCTTTTCCAGTTAGTGTTTTTGTTTTCTTTGGGTAAATACCCAGTAGTACAATTGCTGAATCATAGGGTAGTTCTTTTTTTAACTTATTGAGGAACTTCCATACTGTTTTCTATAGTGCCGCACTGATTTACATTCCTACCAACAGCGTACAAGGGTGAGGGAGAACTGAGGTCTTCATAATGTTAAACTGACCTATTCCAAAGCACAGAATGTCTCATTTATGTAGATCTTATTTTAACTTTTTTTAACAGTTGAAAATTTTCTGAATGGAAGTCTTCCATATTCTTTGTTAAGTTAGTTCCTAAATGCTTTATGGTTTTTGTTGCTAGTATGAATGATACATTCTTCAGTAGTTGCTGGTGTAGGTAAATATCACTAACTTTTTAAAAAGTTTTTTTTATTTATTAATCTTGCCAAACTGAAAATTACCTCTAGTAACGTGCATATTCTTTGTGAATCTATCTCTGATAGTATGTGAATGTTTATATCAAATACTAGTAAGATGTTTGTTTCTTCCCTGTCAGGCTTTATTCCTTTTGTTTTCTTTTTTGTCTTTTCCTTTTTTGCCCTTTCCTTTCCTTTTTCTCCCTTCTCTTTAAAATACTGGTGGGTAGGAGTTCCACTTCTATGTTCAATACAGGTCAGTGGGCATTCTCATGTTCCTCTCTATCACCTTACATCCTGTCATTCCTTTGGAAGGTCACAGCAATTTGTGAGTTCTCAGACCTTTTCTAGATTGATCCCTCAGCAGTATTTAACACGGTTGACTTCTGCTTCCTTCACTTTCCTGATACTGCATTCTTACCATTTTTTCTTCTCTTTCTTCTACATCTCTTTCAGTCTCCTTGGTTGGTCCAGTCTTCTGCTGCTCATCTCTTCAGTGTTAGTGGTGTTAGTCAAGATTGAATCCTGGGCCCTCTTTCATCTGACTTGAGCACTCTGCCTGACCATGGCTTCAGTTCAATGTGACCATGCCCCTGACTCCAGCTGGCTACTTAGAGGTTCCACACACATCTCTTGACTTTTTAAGACCAAAACCACATCCATTTTCCCCACCCCAGTTCTCTTTTGGTTTACCCTATTTCAGCAATGAACTACTGCCCAGCCTGTTGCTTCAGGCTAGAAACCCGTGTGTCATCCCTTCTTCCTCCCAGCCAAACCACACATCTCTCCACCCCTCTCCACTCTGTCCTCATTCTACTTCCGGCTACCGTCCCCTCTGACCTGTCATTCCCTCTGCCAGGTGGCTGCACTGAAGCTGGTAGTTGTGGAGTAGCTTCCTGATTTTCCTAATCATGCTAGAGGTGGCAGATCCCTTGTTGGCCCAGTTTTTTTGAGAATCGTTCCTGAAAGTTCAGGCTCCCTTTCTTCATCCCTCTCAGTAATTCTGGGAGCTACTAATAATCCTTAAAAACAAAAGTCTCTGCCTTCAACCTTTTCTTTTTTCTATTTTACTCTCACTTCTGCAGTTCAGAGTGGTATTTCTAAAATTCAAATCTAATCATGTCAGTCTCCTGTTCAGAATTCTTCAGTGATTGCCTGTTTCTTGTTAGACAAAGTCCAAAATCTTTAACACCCAAATTGCTGCTTGATCTAGGCCTTGCTTCCTTTACTAGACTTCTCCCTCTTTTGTAATGCAGCTGTGTGCTGGTTTTCTTTAATTTTCCGTGCTGTGCCATGCTCTCTCATCTTTCCAGGGCTTCACACTTAGCCATTGCCCTGACAGTAACACTTATGCCCATCATTTGCAGTATTTGGGCTTCATCTTAGACAGTATGTCCTCTAGGAAGCCTTGCCCGATCCTGCAGATCTGCTTCAGGTAACGTGCGGTCAGTTCCTACTGTACCTTCTTAGACTATGTGAGACATGCTTAGACAGTAACTTCTGTTTCGATAGGGATCCTTAGTACCTAGCACAGTCCCTGGCATATGATAAATGTTTAATAACTATTTATTAAATGAACGTGAAATTCTCTTCTTCTGTGAAAATGTTATTAGTTCTATGTGCTGGTTAACTGAGTTTATCTGGTCCATGGAATGTATTAAAACTTCACTAACAGCAGTAATCAACCAAACAGCGAACTTCCTTCTTTCCTTTCTTTCCTTCACCTTTTTTAATACTAATATTTATTGAACACCTAAGTGCCAATTTAAAGAAAATAGATTAAAGTCAATTTGAAATTTCTGAAATTGGTAATAAAATTGACCAGTACCCTTGAACCCAAACCCTTAGGTAGGACTGGAATGGAAAAGAGTCTGTCATGGAGCCTCTGATTGGGATCAATGTCTGGGTTGATCTCTAGACTTTCTTACTTAACTACATGTCTTCAGTTCATGTGCTTTGGAGAATTAGTAGAATCTTGAATACTCCCAGAAATTCCACCTCCATCTGAGTATAAAGTCCTGCCTTTATTAAAAAGTGCTTAGTTGAATAAGGCAAAAATGTGGTGGAATGCCCTTTCGTTGGCATAAGGTTAGGTTGAATTCTAATCATGTAAGTGAATGGGTTTTATTCAACCCACTGGTGAAGATAAAAGGCCTGAGTGCCGTGTCACTTATTTTTGTGTAGTAGACATGCAAATCATTTCTTTTCCCAGACTATGGTCTGTTATATGGACCAAGACCTAATTTTTTGTCTAACCTTGCCACTGTTAAATCTCCTGTAATGATCTAGCTCTTCATGCACTGAACATTCATTAAGTGATCCAAATAACATTTGGC